ATTAGGGTCATAGTTTCAGCTAAAGCTAATTTCTCATTTGATTTTTTTTCTACTGTCATCTTCTAGCCACTAGACTGTGTTTTTCTCTGCAAGTTCAAAAGCCTCTTAGTACCTAGCATTTTCTCCCCTGAAGAGACTCATGTGTCCAGTCACCTTTTAGTCTTCTCTTGGATGCTTTAAACAGATGGTGATTTTTAAATTTCTCAAGGCCAGACATTTCCCCCAGCCCTTAAATCATTTCTGTGGTTCTTTTCCCTACAAAATTCAATGTCCTTTTCAACTGTGGATGCCAGGTCTGGCAGCAGCATCCCAAAGTAGACTCACCTCTTTACTCCTACTCACTATTTTCCCTTTTATTTGTCCAAGGAGTACATGAGCACTTTTGGTAACCACAGTGCTCTGATAGTTCTTATGTGATTGCACGTCCACTTGGGGCACCTAAATCTGACTCCTCTCTCCCACATATTATCCCAACTTTCATCAGATATCTTTGAGGAAAGAGAGTAAGAAGTGATTCCAAAACACATAATAAACATATAGTGAAGACCTCATGCTTTTTGCAACATATGCAGGAGAGGCCACTTGAAACTGCCCCTCAAGCCCTCAATTTCCTTCTCTCCAGACCCACTGCAGTAACCCTTGTCCTATATATTAATACTGAATTCAGTATGTTTGACACAAGCCTGGAATTTTCAATGTATACAGATATAGCAACTGACGGATCTGTCAGGAATGAAGTTCAGAACAGCTGGATGAGAAAGATTTAGAGTTCTGAGCACATAACAAGGCTTGAGATAGGCTTTTTTTTTTTTTTTTTTTTTTTTTTTTGCATCCTGCGTTCAAGTAAGACTCTTCAAAACAGGGACAGGATGTATCTCCAAAGTCCCTTATTTTCTTTATTTTCTTGGAAAGAGGCAGAAGTGGCATTACTTTGATGCAAGAACAGACAGTAAATTAGCCAAGTTCTGTATAGCAAATGTCACAAGACAGGCACCGGGTCTGGTTTTGTGACATGGATCAGATCAACTACTTTGGCTCCTCATTTCACACCTGGGTGCTGGGCCACATCCACATGTAACAAACAACCCGGCACATCTCTCTTTAGGCAACACGTCCAAGTCCTGACTGAGTCTGGGTGTCTCAGACTTGCACCCTCAGGTGCCTTCGCTGCAGCCATGCACACCCTTCATTGCCGTGCTGAAAAATTCCACTTTCGATTACAATACTTCTTCTAGGCACTTTGAGTAAAAGAAAATGTAATTATGGCTGAGGGTCACAGGAGCACTAATAGGGCAAAACCCTGGGAGCCAGGCAAGATTAAATCCCAGAGTAAGGCATGTGGCCAGCACCAGTCCACTCTAGAGGGGCCAGCCAAGCCACGCAGCTGTGAGCCCTTCAGCATTACTTGCTCTGGGAGCCCCATGCAGATGCCTTGAGCCGTTGGCCATTTAATTTTGGTTATTTCCAGAGAGAAGGTGCTAAGGTGATGTTTAACCTTGTGTTTCTTTTTTTTACCTCCACGTGTCATTTCTGAAGCTTCATTCTGGTGCTAGAGAGCCACTGGTGGGGTCTTCCTGGCTTATCCAGCTGCCTCAGTAATCTAGACAAGTAGTTGAACTCTTTGTTCTTCCTCAGCCATCCCAGGGGCTGTCACTGAAGAGAAATAGGGCCAAGCAAGGAAAGCATCTGGCTGGGAAGCCTATCAGTATCAGCGCTATTGGTGATGTATGGGCCAGAGTAAAGTCCAGCTCACACACCCAGAGCCATGCCAGCTCAGCACGACTAAAAGGTGAAATTAAAAAAAAAAAAAAAAAAGATAAACCTTTATTTTGTCAAGCAGTCACAGCTCTAACAGTCAGTATGCTTGGAGAGCAGTGCTGGTGAGGAGGAAGATGCTGTCTATATAAACATTTTCTATGTAAAATCATTTTGTGACACAGAATATGGCTTTGAAATCCTTGGCATCTGTACAGTAAAGCAGTGTGGTATTGTGCCCCTCCTCCACCCCCACCTCTTGCAGAGGGATAAAAACTTGATTTAACCCTGCTTCTGGTCTGAGGAGTCAAAGTATTTCAACCTTGATGTTTTTGCTGATAAGAATTAATGGAAAACACCTTCTCTGTAAAAGGTTTTTTTTTTTTTTTTTCTTCCCTGATATAACCTAAAAGGGCATTTTCAGCCTCAAATCCAAGAAGGCTCATTTACATAGGGGTTTTTTTTTGTGTCTTCCAACACTCAGTATGTGCAAGAACCAAAAGTTATGTGCGAGGTTAAGGTGGTGCTGAGAGCTAGAAGGAAGCCCTCTTCAGTTGTGCTACAGAGTGTCACAGCCATGTGGCCTCCCATGGGCTGCTGGCCACGGTGTCAGCACCCGGCTACACCACTCTGTTGGGTCAGCACCCCCAGACTAGGACACGCAGGTCTAAAACTCCAGTTTTAGGAGAACCTGAAGCAGCGTGTCTCCAAAACACACTGCCCTCTCCCCCAGCCTGGCAGCAAGCTGCGTGCAGCACTTTGCAGAAGTGGTACAGCAAACATCACCCCTCTCCATAAGGAAAAAAAAAAAAGAAAAGAGCAAAACAGAGAATTCAGGCCCCAGCTAAGGCTGAACATGTCATCTCCAGTTAGCAACAGCTCTTTTATCCATTTAACTGTCCACAAAGGTTTGGCACAGGCACTTCAGCCAACAAATGTTTCAAAGGGAAGGAGACTTACCCTCTTTTCAGTATCGTTCGCTTTTTAGCCCCCCTGATTCCCTTCATGTCCCTCTTGGGACTTGGCCACACATTCAAAAGTCGCCAGAGCCAAGCCTGTGTGGCCTACAGGCTCAAACACCCTGAAGGAGCAATGACATGAGATGGAGCAGTACCAAGTCTGGATGAGCAGGCACCATTCAGCTGAGGCTTGGCCAGAACCCGTGTCCAGCCCTCGGTTCGCCCCCTGCCCCCATGGGGCAAGAAGGTGGCCACGACTCCCAGTTTTACAAGCAGGGAAACATATGGGCGGATTCTCAGCTGGTGCAAATCAGCATAGCTTCAGTGCAGGCAAAGGAGCTATCCCATTCATGCCAAGTGAAAGTATGGCTTGGAGAGGCGAGGAGACACCGACTGAGCCCCTCGGCGGCTCAGTGGCAGCGCCAGGCGCAGTCGGGCTATGCCGGTCCAGGAGTGCCGCCGACGTGACTGGGCATCACACGTAGCAGTGAGTCTTTTTCTGGTGAGGAAAGCCGTGTGGAGGCCTGGTCCTCAGAGCTACCAAGAGGTTTTCCACTCCCCTAGGTAGCTACACATTTCTGTCTTCCCATTTTTTTCAGCAGTGGTACCATCAATTTTTACTGCCCTTCGCATTTTACCAGTACGCATCTCACAGCTCTGCCGCACCATTTGGCCTCAGGCATCATGAGAGGGCTATCAAAATGTCATACACGGCACAGGCCCATGTAGATAGCATGGATATTGCCACCCGAGAGCTTCATTGCATTCATTGCAGCCGTCAGGCGTACTGCCTGAACCAGACACATCTCTGTAGATTTTAATATACCTTAACAACTGCATTTGAGACAAAGGAGAAGGCATGGTGTACAGAAAAAAAAAAAAGAAAGAAAAAAGAAAGAAAAAGAGATACCCTTTTATTTGTAAAGCTCTGATGAAACAACAACTTTCCAAATGACATCCCACTAAAAAAAAAAGGAAACCAACCTAACTATGCATCAGTCACACTATACAGATTGCATCCTAAATTTTAAAGATGCCTAAATATTTTATGGAGTATTTACATATGTATCAGTTAGGTAGTAAAGTTTCATTGCAATTTGTTTCTTTCCAGCATATACTTATTCAATGGCAAAAAAAGCCTGGGGATGCATTGGCATTTTTTTTTGTACAAAACTTAGGAGCACTTGGCTAGGGCAATTTTCCTGAGAGAAGGCTTGTTCTTTGAAATTCTTGCTCTAACAACTGGAAATACAGAAAGTGGATTTTTTGTTATTGTTGTTGTTGCGCTAAAAAGCCTAAGGATGCCTAGTTAAGTTTTTCTTTTAAATTATTTACGTACCATTAAGTTAAAATGTTTACATTCATTCATTCGTATAAAAACTGTTGTTAAATCTTATGCAAATGATTTAACACTGATTGCTGCAACGCAAATTGCACTTCTTTAAAAAAATTATGTATATATGGAAGAAAAATATCTGATTGCTACCCTGTTTACAAATTTTGACTGACTCTATACAGTTCAGCCGCAAAATATGAACTTTCATAAACCTCAGTCACAGTGTACTTCAAAAGTTACAACGCAGTCTTGCAAAGTGAGTAAATAGTTCAAAAAACACCACCAACAACAAAATCTCCGTAGCCAGCTCGACCTTGTGAGACTTGTACCAGGCGTCGCCGTTTCCTCCGGAGGCGCGTTAGGGCTCGAGCGATGCCGGCGCGCGCGGCAGAGCCGGCAGGCCAAGGTGCCCGACGCTCAGTTTGTGGCACCCGCGCTGGCTCGCGCGGCGGCCGTCCCCTCCGCCGTGCCATCTCTGGCAACCAAAGCCTTGGCTGCCCCCTCCCTGGCGCGGGCGGCTTCGCTCTGCTTCTTGGAGGATAAGGCGGTGAGAGTAAAATCAAATGTACAGTCAGAAAGGCAGCACTGCTGGGTGGGCTGAGGACATATTTCTGGGACCTATCAATAGGTCTAGGTCCCTCTCTTCTTCTTTTTATCTTTTTTCCCCTTTTTTTTCTTTTTTTTTTCTTTTCATTTTTTGAATGTGTATGGCTGCACTAGCTTTCCCCCAATGGGCGCTTGCTTTCCCTATATATTTTTTCTTGCATAGATGAGGAGCCAGGTGCTTTGGCAGAGCCTCCTTTTTGTGGGGGAGGGAGCCTGGAGAAATCCCTCTGCCGCTGAGGCCCAGGAATGGTGTGAAGGGAAAGGTCTTTGCCGGCACGCTCCTCACCACCCGGGGCCATGCCAGAGCCGCCCCGGGCCCCCGGGGCCGCCACGCTCACGGCCAGCTTCGTCCGCGCCGCGTCACGCCAAGGCCAGGGCGCACCAGGGATCCTGTCTCACGGACGCCGTGACTTCGGCCGTGGAGGTCAGGCTGACTCCTGTGTACAGCCCGTCCTGACCCGAATACTTGAGGTTGCTGCTTTCGGGACTGGTGCTCTCTGCCGGGCCGGACATCACTGAAGAGCTTGCCTGGAGAGGGGCAAAAAAGAAGAGATATTTAGCTCAATTTGCCAGCCTGGTCTAGCAATGGGGATAGCAGTGCCCGGAAAACACTGCTTAACTTTCTTAACGGTGTCCGAAAAGGAAAACCTGCAGAAAAATCTGGAAGTGAGAAATACCAGCAATAAGGGAGTTCACGGGCGTGCATCCCACTGCCCCCTAATGGACGTGACCCGACGCTGGTGACACCGCCTCGAGATCGGGCTGGGTTGGGTGCCGCGAAAGCCCTGAGGAGGCCATCGCCTCGCGAAGCGCCAGGCACAGCCGCCTCAACGCTCCAAAAGAGCTTCCCCAAGCAGAGGAACCAATCTGGACCGAGAGTGTCCCCGTGCTTCACGCTGCCGCCTCCCCATGCAAGACACGGTCCTGGCAGGCGTGAAGGCGGCACTCGGAAATGCAGTCGCTCCATCTATTTTAATGGAGAGATGGAGAGTTGCAGAGACAAAGGCACAATCATTTTTTCCATGAGGCTGAGCAGATCCTCTAAAGAGGAAAAAAAAATTGCAGTGCCAGACAGGGAAGGGGGCAACATTTTCACCTGATAAAGGAAATGTTTAAGAGCTGACTTCATGCAAAATTAACTCTTGGATATGTCAGCTTTAAAACCTTAATTTACTTGTTAATAGATAGTCTTTGGACAAGATTCCTTTTTTTTAAAAAAAAAAGACTATCCTTAAACCGTGACTGCAGAAGTTTCCTGCCTGCTGGTTAAGTGAAAAGTATACATATTTAATCATTTTACAAGAGTAGAGCTCTTGGGTCTCCTGGAGCCATGCCAAGTGAGCTGTTCTTACATAGGAAAATCAGGGTTTCGCTTATTCAAAGGCAATTCCGAGTAGTGCTGCTTTACAGAGTTCTTGTTGCCCTGTTTCACCTTTGGGAAATGGAGATGCTCATTGCCAGTGATCCTTTTTGCCTGAAATAAGCTGGAGTCCAGCACTGCCTTTATCTTTTTCTAAAATGTGCATTCCCTCCTATTCTCGTACCTCATCAGGCACCAGGAACAAAAACACGGATATTGAAGAAGCAACGGCCTCCCCAAAAGGCAGACAAAGCTGTTGCGTTCCCGAGAAGGAGTTTTTATGTCTTCTCCCTCTTTTGGATACCAGACTATCACTCAGTAAGGAAAAATCTCTATCTCCTCATTTTCTGTTACTCTACCCAGAGCGTCCATTTCTTGCTAACCTTTGGATACATTGTTGGTCTTTGATCCATCTAGATTTTTTGAGAGGCTTTTTTATTTCTACTGCTTAAAATGGACTCCGACTAACACAAAAGATGTAACTTTTAACAGGCTGAGTCTCCCCCACAGTGGAAAAAGGGCCTACATTACAGCGGAGCAGTGTTTGCTCAACCCAAGCTAAAAATACGAGGAGCTGCTTTGAAAGGTTCCCGTTTGCCCATATTTGCCCCTTGCCGTTCCGGGAGGCAATATCTTATCGCTCCCTGTTTTTTTTTCCCGCCATGGAAAATGTAATTCGCCCTTTTCCTGCAGCAGCCCTGCCAAGGTGGGGCGCAGCGACGGCCCGCGTCCACGGCGGGCTATCAGCCTCGCCTCCCACCGGCACCCCAGAAGGGAGGCCCGGAGGCGCATCCTGTTTGCAGCCTGCCGGCGCGCGGCCCGAGCCCGGCGCCACCGGGCAGGGCCTGGGCAGGACCGCCGGGCCTGGAAACCCCACCCCGGTAATGTCAGGACCACGCCAGCCAGCGCGGGCAGCTCCCTGCGTGAGGCACGGAAAGCAAACTCGCGCTGGAGCAAAGGCCACGGCTGAGTCAGTCACCTGCTTGCGCGCCTCCGCGGCGAGGGCTCCGGCTCGCAAAGGGGAAAAGACAGCAGGAGTTACGGCCGTCGGGGAGGACATTTGTCAGCGGGCACAAAGCAAGCTGAGCAGGGCTCCTGAAGTCAGTGAGCTATTCTAATTCACAACAGCTGGCTCCACCAATAAAAAGGCAATGGATTTGTTTTTTATTGCCAAAATCTGATAATAAGATAGATAATTGACTGGACTTCGACTTCCTGAAGAGAAAGCGAATGAAGTCTTTTAGGAAGGACTTGTCCCCCTATAACAAATAAAGGAAGTTTGGGTTTATGTCTGCCAAGATGGTTTAATGGTCCAACCTTCTCCCTATACAAACCAACAAGAGCAAGTCATGGAGCTAATGGGGCTGTTTGGCTCAGAGGTGTTGTTTCTGCAGTGGACCTGCCTACCACACTTGCAGGGACATCTCAGCGGAAGCCATAAGAGGGATTTGGGCACATGCGTCCTACCTAATCCCAATGTCAGCACCCCTGAACTGACACAGCACCCACTAGAGACTGCCAGGAGGTCAGAAACGGGCAGCGCAGCCTGTGCCAGCCAGTGCTGGGGGAAGAGCAACAGCATCTCTGGCTGAAAGACTCCCACTTCCTTCCACCCACTCCTTCCTCCGCCATCCAACTGACACGGAGCCTGGCAAGAGGAGAGACACCAGCCCTCTGCCTCACCCCACGCCTTGGCAAGCGAGATGCAAAAGCTCCAGAAAAGAAGTTGTGCTAACAGTTGAAGGGGGTGGCTGAGAGGCTTGATATAGACCTTTGCTCTATCAGGTGGACCTTTGCTCCATCTGCTTTGAAGGTTCAAAATGCTCTATGAATTTTGGACATTACACTAGGTCTGTAGCAAGCTCTAAGTCTCAGCTGATAAGCTGCTCTCTCCCTTTTCTGTTTGCATAGGCTAGTTCTGCTACACCACTTAAATAGTAACTGTAGTCAGTTGAAACACACTTGCAAAAAAATGCTTTCACAAATAACACGTTTTGGCAAACTTCAGTGAGGGCCTTAATTTTCCAGCCTCTGCCTCTCTTCGGTAACTGCTGTCCCCACTAAGAGCACTGTCTCCAAGTATCATCACTGCCATTTTTCTTAAGAACAATTCTCAATATTGCAAAACCAAAGCTTTTTTCCCTGATTTAGTGGCCATCTCTCTACGTAAAGTTGTGATTTATCACTAGTCCAATTGATCCTTCTGTTTATCTAACAGATGTATAAGTTTACATATCTTCTAATCTCTCCTTTGTATTATAGCAACATAAATCTGTGGATAATACTTCATTAATTTCCTAAGGGAGGCAACTTCCAGCATGACTTGGGAAAGCTGATGACCCAGCCGCTGTCGAGGGCTGTGTGAGTAATTGACTTTATTGCTTTGGCAATAAAACAAAGCAAAACAAAATGTATGTGTCCATATGCATATATGTTTTGGGTGGAACCAAATGTACTCTTTTTCCTTATTTTTCCTTTTTGGAACAACAGAAAAAATTTCTTTGTTCCGTCTGATACAAAATGTACTACTTACTTTTAGATTTATGTATAAAAAGCAAAGAAAATGAATAACTAAATTCATGAAACTGAAAGAGGAGAAAAACACAACATCTTATTTTTTCCAAACTTTTAGACTAACAGGGAAAAGTTAGGAGGATTCATTCCCGTTCTCCGTCAGAGAGCGTTTTAAACTGGCATATCACATCTGCAGGCGTGATGCCTTGACTACCAGACTATTTGGTGTTTTAGGTTGCCATGTTCCTCATGCCTCCTGTTGATCTTATTCCACCTGGTTTAAATAAATATTTATTCATACCAGGACTGAGGCACCGTGTTCCCATTTTCCAGGTGAAAGTCCTAACAACTGCATCTGGGGAGTCTTTCTCACGGAAGCTGTGCCCCAACAACTACAAAATTTTTCTTTCCCAGCTGAAATCTTATCATCGGACAGTCTGAAGGACCCTCGGCCATTCAGCTTTGAGGATCCAGGCTTGTAGGAGACTTTTTTTTTTCATTTGAAGAGGTCAAGTGTATGAATTTATCCACACTCTGGAAGATACGCACTGAGGTTGGTTATCCTGCATCCTGCATGAATATCCTACCAATCCACTGCCTAAAAGGGAACAAATGGCCAACAATCCAACAATCTGATGAACCTAGTTCAGAAAAAAAAAAGGCACAGAGATTCACATATTCAGTGAATTCAGACCAGATTGTCAATAAGTTTAGGGGCAGATAGAACTATATTTTTTTTTCTCCCAGATCAACACCTGCCAAGGTCATTTCAGTCAGCTCTCCCACTTTACATACTATACTACTGAAGATCCAGTCCTGAATCACTTCCAAAGGTAAATGTTCAAACAAAGTAAATACTAGTTTTACCCGGAAGGCAACTGTCCTAAGTTATTATAGGTTATGGTACTTCTGAGAAAGCTCTGAACAGGGAGCAATGGGTACAGCATAGTCTTCAGAAGGAAGAATTTCTCTGATGCTGTTATGCCCTTCCTGACATCAGCTCTGCTCATGGAGCATCCATGTCATGCCATAGCAAGCAGATTTTACATCAGTTTTCATACTGCCTTTTAGCCTAATAAGGGAATGAAGCACTTGTAGTAATCACAGCAATTGGAGCCCCTGCATGGAAATGCATGGGTGTGTACCAAAGACTGTGTCCATCGTTTAGCAAATTATTCCGGGTAGCTTTTCTTCTGTACATTTTCAGCAGCATCAAAGGCAGAGCAGGTATAGACACAAATGCAGACTGATCGAAACCGTCACATTTTCTTTTTATGGGGAAGTTAAGCAACTTCATATATCACAGAGCTGGACCTTTTCCATATAAGTAACATAGGACACCCAGTACTTAAACTGCACAGGGAAACAGAAATAGCCCAAATCCTGGATCCAGATGTGAATTTGGCAAATAGCCCCTTTACAATGGGACGAAATATCCCCGACCCAAACACTTCTACATTTTGAGATCTTTGAAATCAGCTTTGCACCCATAGGAATTCATTAATCATACCTTTCAAATGTTTAAACTTCAGCTCAAACATAAAATCAACATTTAAGGTTCTTGCTAATTTGTCTCAAAATTGGCATCATACAAAATTCCCTTTATAAAATGGACAGCCTCAGAGACATTTCACTGAGTAATTGCTGCCCTTCTCTCTCTGCCCTCCCCTCTTTATTTTACTTTAAGAGAGATAAAAAAGGTAGGGCGAAAAGTGAGTATTACTGACACAAATGCACTCTGCTGAATTTCGTTTCCATTAGATTTCTACATAACTAAGGACTCTTTTGGCAGCCTCCCATAGAAGGCCTAATAAATTACTTTTGTACCAGCTCAGGAATTCATTTTCTCTGATTCATTTAGCAACAACATTGCTGCGAATTTCAGACAACAATTTCTAAAACGTCATCATATTTTTTTCTGCCTAATGTCAACTTGGCATTTTTTCCCCATCCTTGCAGAACCAGGACAGGAGAAAGAAGAACCAAACCCAGCAAAAACATGCTGCCCAGCCAGCTGTGCAACGCGCAGGGAGAGCCAGGGATGCACTCGGAGCAGGTGCCCACATTTTGGGAATGTCCCCGGTGCCCTCCCTGCTAGAGCCACCAGAGACCGGAGAGCAGGAACTCGCCCAGCCCCTCGATACGGTCTGGAGAAGCATCTTCCCGCCGCGCAGAGCCATCGCCTGTTCTAAGAATAGATACAGACCTTGGGGCTATCGATGCGTCACCTCGGAAATCAAGGCACATAGAAGTCTAGTGTAGTGTCTGGGTTTCAGCATGTGACCGGATTAAAGGCTCCGTCGCTCTGAAACACTGGAATCCCTTTCGGGGGAAGTCAGCGCTCCCGGCCACTTCAATGGGCCTCACGAGCGCTCCGCTCCCCCCCAGCACCGGTGCCCAGAGCGATGATTTCACTTCCTTTGCAGCCAGCGACCGTCTTCCCGAAGGACATTAGCGGCGACGGCATCACGTCTCCGCGGCCCCACCGCTTCCCGCTTGCAGCCCCTGTCTGCCCCGTCCCCGCGCCTCAGGCCTTCGCTGAGTTGCCCCTAATTGCTATGTCGTGCTTCGTGGCAATCATCTACATCATATTAGAAACTGCATTACGGCAAATTAAAGCTTATTAATTACAGTTCCGATATGTTTCCCTACGGAAAAGGGGGACAGCAAGGGAGGTAGAAGCAGTCAGGAAAGCAGTGGGAATGTCAGGAAAACGCCGTCTCTTCCACACAGCCTCTCCTTCCTTGAGAACACCTCACCGTGCCACCGACAGCCTTGCTGCAGGACGTAGTTCCGATTTTGCTCATAATTCTGCACCTTGTATAAATCTCACTATACTCCCCAGATCAGTTTAAGACAATCAAAAGCAAATTTAAGGTGTATCTGGATGCATTTTTACCCTTTGCAAATACCACTAAACAGGAGGCTAAAAGAGTGAACCGTTGTTCCCTGGGGGGAGCCTGCAACCCAGGAATAGTTCACTTTTTGGTTAATGTTTCTCTCTTTTTTTGATGTGATCTGTTTATTTTATTCACGTCAAAGACGAGCCCTGTTAATAATATCCTTGTCTGGCAACATCAGAACCAAAAACCCAGTACGGCCGAAAGTGGGTGGCCCTGTCTGTCCACCAGCAGTCACATTTGCTAAAAATGTTTTTTCTCCCCTTGTACAATCAAACTCCCTAGGTCAGGAATTAAACCAATGAAAGGACTTTGGATGTAGGAATGCTGAGACATATTGAAAAATAGTTATTATAAACAATGTCTTCTTTTTATTAATAAAGGAGTAAAGAAAGCCACATTAGGAAACCTTTTCAAAGAAATTATGTGGCAGATTAAAGGATACAGAAGGCCAAAGGAGTGAGTGTGGATATGGATATGTATAGTCAAGAGGTTAGAAATCAATCTATATTAAGTTCACAAACCTTAACAGTAGTATTTGTTATCACAAACACTAACTGAGTGAAGAAAGGAAGTTTGCAACGACTTGAGTACGTGGTATAAAGTCAAGCAGGAGGTGCCCGGTGCTGCTGTGGAGCTCGATCCGGCCAGATCCTGAGCATCTGCGATCAACGGGCTGCCCTCACTTAGTTTACCCTGGGTCTGGATCAGAGTTTAAGTGCAAAACAAAATGCACTTTGCTTCCCTTGAGTCAGCAGGATAAAGTTTTCCTGCTTTTCACTAGTCACTTACGATGATGCATGCAAACGCATAATGCATACTCTCACCTTTTCCAAAAATTGTTTATATACATACATATATATACACGCACATATTATGTATCACTCACTTTTTGTTCTACATTAATATATAAACTATTTTTGGAAAATGTAAGAGTAGCTGAGCATTGAATTACAAATTCCCATCAGAGCATATTTGAAAAAGCAGAGTACGTGCACCATTGCTCCTTCAAATGATCACTTCGGTATGATGTATTGTCTTTGCCCTCGAAAGAAAACTTTTGAAAGAGAAGAATCTAAGCTTTTCCAAACAAAATGTCTTGGGTTAAGCCACGGTTAACTTAATCATAAAAATTATATAGATCTTAATTAAGGGGTTTGTAAAGTACTTCAGCTTGTCGTTCTGTTTACAATTATATGTAATATCCTCCGAAAATCTTGTTCCAGTATCAGCTAACAAAACTGAAGTTTGTTTAGATTATTGTTCTGCTAGATAAGATAAAAGCCGTGATAACACTGCACAGTGATCAGCTTGCTTACAAATACAGATACCGGGTTACTACTTACCCCTGAGGCTGCAGTCTGTGTGCTTGGGGAAGCGTTTTTGCTACAGTCGTCTGAGTTAGTAGAAGATGTGGATGTTGGAGTCATAGGAACTGCAGTAGTACTGTTACCTGAAAGATCGGGAACTCGCATTAAAAACAAAGATTTTCCAGTCAAGAAAAAAAAAATAAATAATTGCAGCTCAACTGCCTTATCTTCTTATATTTACCAGAGCATGCCTTTGACTTATTTATGTTCTTAGGTTTTCGCTTCCTGGTCTGAATTCCTTCTTTTTTCATAGCAAGGGGTCGAGGGACCTGAAAAAAATAAATTTCCACAGCAATCATAAGGTTACATATCTACTCTGATCAGCAGAAAACAAAACTATACTCAAAGGTCAAATGGAGATGTTGAAAATGTCCTTAAGTCATGTAGAGCAAGTAATTTTTCCTTCATCGTGGCAGCGAATCCAAAAAACCTTCAGATTTTATTTGGGCAAAGCAATGAGTTGCTTCAAGGGATTTTTAATCTGAATAAAGAAAGCAGGAAAGTTTTTTGTTGTTGTTTTTTTTTTTCCTGATGCAGGCTAAATAGATTTTCAAGTACCTCTGTCAGACCATGCATTAACAATGCTTTTATGGGAGAAAAAAAAAGCATCGTTCAGCACAGGTTATATGAAATTAAGTTGATCGTACATATCTGGTGCCTGATTTCTGCCTCTGGTAAGTTAGGAATTATATTCAGTGGCTGTTTCTGGAAAGCACCAATGCATATAAGAAAAAGAAAAAGAAAGCCCTACTCCTCTTTGTGTGGACCAGCTATGCAAACCAGATCATATCCATAAGCGCTTTACGACAGAAGCTCTAGGGCATGATCAGCTTAGTATTTGTTTGTATAACTAATTCTGCCTATGATACAGATTTATGGTGTATATTTATATTCACAGAGAAAACTGCTCAAAAATCTGCTTTTTGTTCTCCCTCATTACAACTATAACCATTGTACATCAAACATTGCTTTAAAATATATTTTAACTCTATGATAGAGTGAGAATGCAAGCCAGGTATATGCTCACTATGGATATAGTGTTTAAACTGGTGATATAATTTACTTTTTCATCAAGCACTAGACCCAAGTACCGATCACTTTTAATGCCTTGGCTCTTCAAACACTTGTGCTAGAATGTAACTCAATCCACAGGGGCATAAGAAGTCCCCAGTCTCACCCAAAGCGTATTCCATCATATTTAGGAGAGAGTTGTTTTCTTCCTATATTATTACCTGCCAAAGGCTGGAATTACCTTTAATGTTTTGTTGGCATAGCTACATCTGCCCGGACTATGAAAAACTGTCCTGTTAGAGGTCTAGGGTTTTCTGGTCTTTTTTTTCTTTCTCTGTTAAATAGCCTGTCTAAATCACAGCGGCACAGATTGCTCTACCACATTTTCCAGACCGATCGGCACAGCTGCAACCGTAGAAGCTGCAACGCGCTAAAAAGCTCTAACCCTTTCCAAGCAAGGGGGGCATTTCCAGGCACTTTTATCGAAATATATATGTATATATTTTTTCTGACCTCTTTCTCATTTCCTAGAACCTCGGTTCCCCCCGCACCGTGAGGCGGCAGCACCGCGGAGGCCGCAGACGCATCGTCCCCGGGCACCGTGGGCTCCCGCCGGACTCGCGCCGCAGCCGCTTACCCCGTGCAGCTTCATGTAGAGGCCGCAGGCGTTGCAGACGGGCTCGCCCTCGGCGTTCCTGCGCCACAGCGTCGTGGTGGTCGTGTGGCAGCACAGGACAAGCCGAGCCGCCGCGACGAGGGCTAGGGGCAAGCAGAGGGACACGGCGTCAGCGGGCGCGTGGTGCCCGGCCCACCGCCTCCCTACCACAACCAAGAGTGAGGCGGGAGGACAAGGACTTCCCAGCCGCATGGTGGAGGAACTGGAGGGTTTTTTATGTATATAGCATTTCTTGGAGACATCCCCAAAATGCAGACTTATTGCGTTCCTTCCCAAAATGGGAGAACTCGTGTTAGAAGGCTGCATGAGTGTGAGGAGGTTGCATGAGTGTGAGGAGGTTGCATGCATCTGCAACACTGACTGTCTGCTGAGAGCAGCAGGTATTAGCTCCTTCCCTGATATGAAATGGCCTCGCTGCACTTGGGTCACGCCGGGGAAAAAAGGCAGATTATTTCCACGCTTGTTCTGCAGACCTTTTAAATCCCTCTCCCCTTTACATGACACAGCTCTGAGGTGATACCAATGCTCCTGGCTCATCTGAAAGCCCAACTGCTTTGATCCGCATCCCCTCTCTGTTGGAAAAATAGGAGCATAGCAGGGCATTGGTTCTGGGTGCCGTGCCGAGCCACGGCAATCGCTTTGTAAAACAATTTTTTTCCTTTTCTTTTTTTCCTTTTTTAATCGCGTTGCATTTTTATCATCACGTGAAAACCAACACGCCCCAGGAATGCGTTTTACAGAGCAGAGTTTTTTCCTGGCCATCGGGAAAGCCGGGGTGCGACAGCAGGGGCCATGTCGCAAACAAGCCGTTTATGGTGCTCTCCGTGGAGTTTGGAGCCAAGGTGAAGCAACCTTGCATCAGAAATAACCATATAACCCCAGGCTTTATGGCTGAGAGCTGTATATCATAAGTGAAGGCAGTCCTCATAAACACGTGAAATGAAGGTGAATGGGTTATAAAAGTTCCTGTAACGAGTGATCTCTTTTACATCCATCTCCAGCAAAGAATTCCAGCGACACCATAAATCTATTATTTTTCAAAGTATCGCATTGTCAGAAAAACATAAAAAAAAAAAAAAGGATCGGTCGCTTGCTGGGTGCCTGGCAGCTGGACAAGTTTACACGGAGAAGTCAGTTGTGGAGAATTGCATTAAGCTTAACGCGGGCTATAAAGCGCCTATAACTGAAGTTACTGACTTAGGAGTACTGTGTCCTTCCTCTTGAATCATTTACTGCTGGGCTGTTAGATGCACTTGGTCACCTTTGATACCACAGCACCGGCTGCCACTTGGGAAACTAATAAAAAGGTTTTAAGAATGAAGAATATTCCAGCATAATAACCACATTTCTTGAAGCTTATCTGTTCTAGCTGCTTTAGCAGCAAACTAGTATATCACACTGCAGCTCAAATGAATGCTAGACAAATATATATAAAAATTTAAATTTTGGATTAGTAAGTTGTTATTGGGTGTAGAGAGATAAGAATGGCCAAATGTAATACAGGCTGAAGTGTATGGATATATTTTTTAACTTTAAAAGTCCAACTCACATTAGCAGAGAATGTTTGGTCTTATTAATAAATGTTAGTGCACGTGGTGTCAAAGCCCTGCTTCTCCAATCAATACAGGTTGCATGCGGATCAGGTTAAAAAAGATGGTCCTAACACATGCTTCATTTTCTTTCTTTACAACTACAATGTTGCCAGACAATTCATTTTGTTCATTTTGTTAAAACCTTTTAAAAAAAAAAGAAATCTGGTATAAATATTGATATATTTTATTTCTATAGTATTTGTCCATTCCTGGATCTAAACGAACCTTTTTTTGGGGGGGGGGGGGGGGGAGTTGCAAAGCTAGAATGACTTTCCTGCTGCAGGAATTTTATCAGGAACTTCAGGGAAATCCAAACATGTTTAGCATTTCCAAAACATTTTCCCTTCTCACCTACACATTTCCAAATGTATGAACACTCAGGCACACTTGATTTATAGTTATGGCCAGTAGACTCAGTATGCGTTGTTGCCCAGAACTATTTCAGGTGTATTTAGCTGAGGTGTCAGCCTGAAACCAGGTTGTTGTTGGACTGCATTTTAGCCTCTTTATTCCCATTTTAAAAAGAGGTGGGAGAGGGAAAGAAAAAATAGAAAAGAAAAAAGAAAGAGAAGAAGCGCGTTGCCGCCAGAGCCGGGTATCAGCTAGTTTAAGTCTGCGGTGCCACAAGCAGCCGAGCATCGACACTTCCCGCGAGCGGCAGACCTGGCCGTACCGCGACATTTGTGCTGCGAATTAGATAACGTCCAGCGTAATGAAAAATCAGCTGGACGGCCAGCTGCAAAATAAATAAATTAATTTTTTATAGAAGTATTAATAGGCACTAGCAAGTAATTAACTTCTAATGTTCAATTAGCTTCTAATGTTCAATCAGCTGCCCAGCTCTCAGGCATGGCTTTGCATGGACACAGGGCTGCTCTGCGGATGCTTGCTGCTGGCTCCAAGAATTTGGCTTTTTTTGCTTTCCGTGCACCCCTGGAACAGGGCTAAACTCAAAGCGCTGCGAAATGAAGGACAGGACCTGTTTTAGCGCTATGAAAACGGGGCTGGAGCGAGGCAGACGGCATGATTGAAAGGGTCTTGAAAGGCTGATCGGTTTGATACTCAGTCTCCGTACACAGGGGTCCAAACATCAGCTCAGATTATAGCGACGTGATTTATTGCAACTAGCTCAGTAACAGCCATTGCTGAGGAGCATTTTCTTTTTCTCTCTGCTGACCTCCTCCCAGATTTGCTAAACATAATGTGCAGTTCCCGCTTGTTAAATTTTCTCCTTGCCTATTCAGTGCCAGCGCGAATTATAAACAGGGGTTCTGCTTTGTGCTATTTATTTCCCCCCACCCCTCATTTTAGGCGTATATTTTTAGACAAATTGCCTCTCATTTCTTCGGGGTAAAGGAAAACAAAGGCTATTATCATTGTTTAAACAATTGGTTTTCTTTGAATTATATACAAAACTTGCTTACATTCCCAAGGATCGAGCTCTCAGCAAACAAAGCAGGTCTGGAGAAATTCCTGGTGCTCTGAACAAACAATATCCAACCTTGGATTTTTTTTTGTGGGGGGGGGAGAAGGGTGGTGGGGATGTGCAGGGAAACTTCCAATGTTTGCAGCACAAATCCCTCCAAAGCCAGTGCAGGGGCCCGGCAGCTCCACTAACCCGCGAGGCAGAGCCCGATGGCCTAGACGCAGACCCGGGCACAAGGGCAGACCTTTCATTTTGCATCCAGGGATGGGGGGGATCACCGGGATGCTGCAGTACCAGCGCTCCCGCTGCATCCCAACACATGGCCCTGGCCGGGGGGCTGCCTGCCCCTGTTCGCACACTCACCACTCTCTTCTGGGGCTTGATGAGGGGCCGGCTGAGGCCGTTCATTTTGGTGTAGAGCCCGCACGCGTTGCACAGGTAGTTGCCGGTGCCGTCCCTCCTCCACAACGGGGTCTGGATGGAGCCGCAGTTCACACACTCCCGGCTCTCTGACAGGTCCTCCAGCAGCTCTGTGCGGGCAGGGAGCAGAGGGGACACGGTTGGGAATGGCCCACACCACTGCACCCCATGCAGCCCCATGCAACCGCCACTCAACCCCATGAAAGCCCCGCGCAGCCCCAGCAGCACGGGACACGGGCAAGCACCAGGAAAACGGCATCAGCTCAAGCAACAAGCACCGGCAATCCTGGGGAATGTCATCCCCCAATGCTGTTTGCAGCACAATTATCATTACTAGAAACTCAAAATTCGCCCCTATTTTTTTTTTTTAATCACACCCGGCTTGGTCCCGTTGAAAACAGGAGTAGCACCGGTGCTCTGCCAGCTCTGGAGGGGCTCAGGGAAAAGACCCCAGTCTGTGTCTCCCTCGGGTGTCCCCCTCATTCCCCAGCACAGGAATTTGCTCATCCAAAATCTGGCCAAAGTTGCACAGGGGCAGATCCGTGGGTTCTCTTCTGAGCAGAGCCAGTGGCAACGGCCAGTCCCAGAAAGGGGCAACAAAGAGGAGCGAGGAGCAAAACAGCTGAAGCAGTGCCCCCCAGGCGGGGAGAGGGGGAGATTTGTACCCTAATATTTTGGGGAAGCAGAGGGTGTTACTCGAAATCCTCAGTTTTCCTGCCAATATGCCCAGCTTTCAAAGCCCACCTGAACTGCAGCACTGCCAAAAGTGGTGGTTTAATTTTTTTTCCCTCTAAATATTTCTCCGGGTCAGGGCTGGGCAAAGGGTTTTGTTTTATGAGATTCTTATTTTAAATGCTTCGCCACAAGTCAAGCTGCAATTCAAGGAGCGTGTTTTGCGAATGTGCCTTTGCTAAGTCAGCAATGGGAACGACCACTTCAGTTCGTTTATTTGTTCAATTCCAACCTCGTTGTTAGGAAGCGGAGGAAATGGAAAAATAGGTAGTATTCTACCACCCTGCTTTGATAGCTCCTGAGCATGAGGAAAAAAAGAAAAAAGAAAAAAAAGGGTCTGCATGTAAAGCAGAGAATAAAGAGAACCCACCTATAAAAGCAAACACCTTCACCCCTGCAAATCTTTATATTCGCGTTCTGACTCACCTCTCCATATTTTGGAGGAAAAGAATAAATGAATATTTCACATTATACCGTTCTAGGCTGCATGGCAATAATTTAAAGTTTTTTTTTTAATTTCCCCAGCAGCTCAGGAGGAGAAATCCTGCCACGGAATCCCAACTTAGGAATGGCTCTCTACTCCCTTCATCCCTCTCCGCTACCTAACTTAATTGATCACAAGGTTATGCTTTTACATTTCACTTATTAGCTTTGTGCTCTGCAAAGTGAAAGAGATCTTGTAAATGTCAAGCAGCTTTCGATGCAGAAATTTGATGGCACTGCCCATATAGAACTTAGAAAAAAAGCCCGTTTTTTGCCGTTGTCCACCAGTGTGCGTGGCTCTTGCACTTTCATTTGCAAAAATATTACACGCAAAACAGGAATCGGAGCACGGCAGGGTCCAGAGAGCACAGTTCAAGTGACGTTGTCAGCTTGTAACTCTTAACACATCACTAAGATTTATTAATCTTTGCACTAAAAGCGCCATGAAATATTGTAATCAGTGAAATGCTTAGGGCTTCAAGGACGCGGGAACCCAAGCAGTTTTTTGTCTCAACCACTCGCTTAAAAGCATTACCTTCGAACTCGAAGAAAGAAATTCTGCCACGATAACATTTCTCGGGCCTTTTATACATGTATTTCCCGCGGAGGCGAAAAATATAATTAACTCAATGGAAAGCAAAACGTAGCGTTAATTTTCGATAAATATATTCAGCGCTTCCACGAGTTAGGAAAGCTGATCAAACTGCCCAACATTTTGCCTTAAAAACCACTGCGGGTGACGGCAGCAGCCCGCACCGCTCCCGACGGCCGCGTTCGTGCGGCGGCTTCGTCGCTGCCGGCCTCGGAGTCGCGAAAACTCCCGTGAGTTACGAGCTCGCAACGCACCGTTCGTGCCGCCGGCCTGAAGCCCAGCTCTCTCCGCACCCGGCTCCGGGGAAATGCGAAGGAAGAGCTGCCCAAACGCGCCGAGGAGGTCACGTAGGGCGATTAGCGACATCCGCGTACGCGGGGCTTATTATTGGAAACACCCGGCACAATAAATGTCATTATTATTCTTGCGGCGCGTTACGAGCGCGCGTCCAGGGGCAGCCCCCGCCGGGAAGCCCGCAATAAAAGGGCACTTGTCTCCAAGGGAAAGCGCTCGGGAGAAGCCCCGCGGCCAGGCGGGCCCCTCTCGCACCGGCGCTTCGCCTCTGTGAGGCGAGACGGACCGTGACAGCGGCCCCGATGCCGCCTCGATGGGCGCGAAGCCGCGACTGGAAACGGCGCCGCGGGGACCCCCGTCCCCGGCTCATCCCAGGCTCCTTCCCCGGCCGCCTGCGCCTCTCCCGCCGCCAGCTTCGCTCCCACCTCCAAGCCCGAGTCGCCTTCGCTTGCCCGACGCGTGAGCCCCGGTGCCCGCAGCGGCCTCCGCAGCAGCGGAGGTCCGATCGCATAAGAAGGTGGGAAGAGGTCAGGCAATTTTTCCACAGCGCTTTAGTGAAGGGGGAAATTGCGCTGTGTATAGAATACACCTTCCCGGTGGGCAGCAGATGATTAAAGCAAATGTTGATTAAATATAGATATGCGTGTTCGCTTGCGCGTGTGTGTGTATATATATATATACACATATATATACACACACACACACAAACACATCTATATTCATGTGCCTAAATATGCGCATACCCCACACACATCTTTTTCTACATATATACACAAGTATTTCTATTTACACATATTTTCTGAAGCAGAGGAGGCTGCGCTAATCGCTAACCTTCTTGCATTTTGTTAACTCGCTGTAGTGCAGCCTCTACTCTGCGCGCAGTACAACCATATGGAGAGTTTTCTTAACTAAAAGAAAAAAAAAAGGACTGTGACAACTATAAAGTGAAAGTAAAAATCCATTAGTAGGTGCCCTATTTTAGCAGCAGCTTTTGAGCGAGGTTTCTCATTCATTTGAGAAGGAATGGGGTGGTTTTGCTTTGCTAGGCTTCTTTTCTATTTTTCCTTAAACGAAGGGATGAACGGCTTTGCACGCAAAATATCCCAAACCGGGGAAGGGGCTGCCTGCGCCTTCCCTGAGCACAGAGGAAGGGGTTACACCGCAGACAACTTCTTGCCATTTCCTCACCAGCGGGTCTGGTTTGGAGAAAGCCGAAATGCTCGTCCGAAGAGGAGAAGTGGGGAGCGTTTTAAAGCGGGCCGATTAGTTTAGGAAATGCCAGCTCCCTAACACGGATCACAAAGCTGATTACGACGCCGCCTTTTCTCTCTCTTTTTATTCTTTCCTTTCTTTTTTTAATCTTTTTTTGTTTGCTTTGTGTTTTTTTTCTCCCCGTTTTTCTGTTCTTTTTTTTTTCTCTTTGCCTTTTTTTTTT